GGGGGTCTGGCGCAGGTGGAGGTGCGTGTGTGGGGGGGGGTAATAAGGCAAGCCTGCGGCCATGCGGTGGTTCAGGATGGGAACCGTCCCTCTGGTGGCTCCTGAACCACAGACATGGAGGCATCGCTGTGAGAGGAAGGAGCTGAGAAGAATCCCAGGGTAACAGCAATTTTTTCGGCTGTGGGTTGAGAAGCTGCCACTGGAGCCTGAGTGGCACAGAAACCCGGAGGGACAGGGAAGGGAGGAGTGAGGAGAGGCGGCAGGACTAGTTGGGGTGCTGGGTGCTGCGGGAGGGAGAGGCTAGAGGGAAGAGGTCTGGGTGGCCAGGGCGCACAGCTCCAGGGGAGGGTGGGGGACAGGACGGCGTCCCCTGGGCTGAGCTGCGGTGTCCTCACTTCCATAATTACAACACGGACGGCGGGAAGCCTCAGCCCGTGGGCGGCGGGGTGGCTCCTGCGGGCGCACCTTCTCAGCGGGCGTCCTGCTCAGTCCGCTCCCCCCTCAGGCTGACGTGCAGTCCTCCTTCCTCGGCAACCTCTGTCCTTCCCTAAGTAATCTCTTAGCATGTTTTTAAAAACCGCACGGTGTACCGGCTTTTGAAAAAGGCTCTCTGAGTAAGCAAATGGAAATAAAACGACCCTGACCGTGCGGGTCTGAATGCACTTTCCGCCCCACCCTGCTGGTACCTGAGGAAGCCCTGAGTTTACAGCCGAGGATCCTCCAGCCGGAGCAGCATGGGTGTGCCTTAAGGGCAAAACGTGAATTTTTAGAACTCTCAATTTGGGGAGAAGAAAATTACAGATCTCAGGAGAGCATGACATTTCTGAAGTTTGGGGATTGACGTCTTAGAATTATAGAAACCTTTGTGCTTGNGATCTCAGGAGAGCATGACATTTCTGAAGTTTGGGGATTGACGTCTTAGAATTATAGAAACCTTTAAGTTCAAGATCCTCAGTGACGGAAAGCACAGGCTGATGTAACGCGGCCGGGCCTGTGCCACTCAGCCGGTGAAGCTCTGGGGCCCCGGGGGGGCAGCCTCCCCGCGTCCCTGTGGGAGTTCACGGAGAGTTCACAGCAATTAAAGACCAGGGGAGGGGGAGGGAGGGAAGGGGGGAGATGCGGTGACGGAGCAGACTTGGGGTGGGGAACACACAGTTCAATACACAGATGATGGATTGTAGAACTGTACACCTGGAACTTACAATTTTATTAACCAGTCACCCCAATACATTCAATAAAAGCAAAGGAAAGAAAGCAACAGGATCCTAGAGTACGGTAGGCAGTTGCTCAAGTTAGCCGCAGAATCCCGTATTATTTTTTGGTTAAAGGTCACCCGAGGATATTTTTCCACTGATTTTTCGAGAGTGGAAGGGAGAGAGGGAAACGTCGATGTGAGAGAGACAGGTCAACTGGCTGCCTCCCGCCCGCACCCCGACGGGGGCCGGGACTGAGCCTGCAACCAAGGTACGTGCCCGTGACAGGACTCGAACCCGGGACCCCTCGGGTCTGCGGGCCGACGCTCTAACCACTGCGCAAACCCACCAGGGCAGAATCCGATGCTTGAACAGCCCGCCTGTCGCTGGCTGTCGCTGTCGCTGTGTGGACCGCGTCTCAGAGGCAGAGGGCCAAGCGGACCGAGCCCCGGTGGCGCTACCGAGGAGCCGGGGACCTCGGAAAAAGTTCCTGAAACTCTAGTCTCAGCTCCCTCATCCAAAATCAAAAATGAAAATAATTCAACCTCGCCGTTGGATGAAATGACCTGAAAGAAATGCCTGCAGAAGAGACGTTCGCTCGGCAGACACGAGCTTGCCGGCCCTGCGCTCAGTCCCTTTCACGGTGAACTCTATTTGCAAAGTGGAGGAGGCGGAGACGGCACCTACGGTCCCTCCCGGCTCGAACACTCTGTGAAAGGCCTTTGTGCACAGAAGATGCTGGGGAAGTAAGTAAATAAAGCCTTTTTACCCAATTTTCTGGTCATTAACACTCAACCTGGTGGCTGGAAGAGCTGATAGGGAATAGTAATGACGGAAACCACAGCGGCAACAACAGGTAATGTGTATGAGGGACTCTGCACTTTACCTATGCCATTTAATTCAAACCTCAGCAGGGCCCTGCAGGAGCCTCACAACCCATTTCACAGACAAGGGAACAGATTCAGGCACAGGGCAACCCCTCGGAGGCTGCTTCACACACACACACACACACACACACACACACACACACACTCTCTCTCTCTCTCTCTCTCTCTCTCATGCGCGCTCTCTCCTAGTGAAGCCCCCCGTGACTTACGAGACCCCGAAGCACAGGAGTTTTAAGCACCCATTGAACATCTAGAAATCCAACAAGTGTCAATAATTGATGCGGCTACACGATCCGAGAGTCGATGACCAGGAGGCCTTGGATAAGATCTCTAAGCCGCTGTTACAAGGGAGCTGAGGCCGCTGGGGAGGCGCTGGGGTTACCCAGCGCGACGCGGCCCTCAGCCGGGTGCTGGCCTGCTCCGCCTGCCTGCGCTGAGGAGACTCGCAGACCTGTTTAACCTACGCAGGAGAGGCAGAGACACAGTGGGATAAACAAGGGTGCCATCCTCAACGCCGAAGAAGTGGCTCAGGAAGCTTCCATAAATTACAGAACACGGCACACGCTGAAGTGGAAGCACACTGCGGTTTGCATACGCAGACCTGGACGCGATCCATCACGGCTCCTTCTGCATGCTTGCCACTCACACGTTTGCATTAAAATATAAAGTTTTTGTGTTTTTTTTTTAAATCTACCACTGTTGTATGCATAGGAAAAATAAGACATTTCCTTTTGAGAGCCAAGAG